ACTCGTTATGAATTGTGCCATTCTGTAGGGGTGGGGGAAGAGATTAAAATGCTCTTTCATAGCATTTTCAGCCTCAAAATTAAAATAGAAAGAAGGCCATTGTTATCAGCCTCCTGATAAAAGACAGGACTAGTCCTACAGCTATCAGTAGTGATCTATTTACACATTAGAGACAAAGATGACCATTGTAGCCTGTAACATATCACAAATCTGTATAAATACAGTCATTTGAGACACTCCAGCTACATTTCTGGCACAAAAACCATCCCTTCAATTTCTACATGGACATCTCTGAAATTTCTAAAAACCACTATGCTGATAAGAAGCTGAGGACAAGGACCGATTTTATTAAAGCTGATTTTGCAATTTTGATTTAAATTACAAACAGAACATCTTGCAAACCCTTGCAGCTTCCTTCCAACCAAGAACTTACACACACACTGAAATGAACCTTTGCTTATAAAGTTAACCTTTTTCACAATCCTGAAGGAAAAGACACTTTTGTTTTTCCTAATCTACTTCAGAACTAAACCCAAACTTTGTAACAATTTTTTCTTTACATAAGGCACAGATTTTACTTTTCTTAAAAATGCAGTAAGGTCCAGTTTACCAAACAGCTTGGGATTCCTGTGTTTTATCCAATTATGAGAGCAGGGATTGTCCTGATATAAAGGTGCCTGGGAAGCATATAAGCAGCTCCATTCTCACAGGAATCTCTTAACAATTCATACTGGAAGCTCCAGAAATAACAGCCTAGGTGGAAATTTAAATTGCTGTGAAGACTCATGCACTAGAAAAATGGACCAGGTAGACAGCAGGAAAAAATTTGGCAACCATAGGCTCAATAAGTTGTATTTGAGTGACGGGAAGGTCTATCAAAGACAAAGAATAACGATGGTTTGAAAACACAGTGTAGTCTCTCCAAGTTTTTTTTAATTATCAATCCCATGTTGCAACAAAAAGTTAGTCTGCACCATATTATAATTTCACTGGCAACCTGAAGGGATTTATTTATTTTTACTGTATAATCAAAGAACTGTATCATGGTTAAGAATAAAATTGCATAAATGGATACTAAAACATACAGTGGAAGAGACATTTTTAGAGGATTGTATTGAAAAGACTTCATAGGTAGAGCATTATGCAGTTGCTAGAGAATCAATTTCCCAGTTTGTAGAATAAGAACTGTCCTCTATAAAATGCCGAGAAAAACCTTAAATCTTTCAGGGAAGAAGGCTAAGTGGAGTGATGTTGGGGCATGAAGGTGGGAAGGGGGAATAAAAAGAATAAAAGGGAATTAGAAAAAGATGGAAAGGTAGTTGAGGAACAGTAAAATAAAAACAAAACAAAAAACAAAAGCAGGATCAGCAGCAGATATGCGGAAAGCACCAGCAAGTTCTTTTCTTCCTAGCCTTCATAACAAAGAGGACATATCCTCAGTTGAATATAAGAGAAGTGGGGACAAGTAAGTAAGGAGCCAGATTCTGGTATAACAGAGCAGGAAAATCAAAGGATGGGAGAGAAGGTTTCCATAGTGGATGGGCAGTAGAGGCCTGAAGCAGGCAGAGGAAGGAGGAAATAGGCCCGGAAGCAGGAGGACAATGGGGCTGGATCTCCTAGCGTTAGAATTTTGACTAGGAGGCCTCTAAATAAGGAAAAAGGAGTTGGTAGAAGTTGGATGGGAGTCAATACTGAAATTATTCTGGAGATGGAGGATGCTGAACCTCTTTTTTTCCCCTATGTTGGTCTCTTCCTCCTGTCTATTCAGTTACAGAACAGAGTTAAAGGAATCATATTTTTTCCAGAGTCATGAAGTGCAGAACCAGAAGCCAAGGACTATTGCATTCAGCAGCCAAGTACAGAGAGAGGAATTTTAAAAGAAGTTTCCACTGCAAAACCCCACAAGAACTCCATACTCAGGTGTTGTAAAAAGGGAATCAACAATGATGTTCACAACAGTTGTGTGCAAAAGGTGGAAGCAAATCCAGGTATTAATGGGGAGGGGGAGGAAGGGGGAGGAGATGAGATGTCTTTAACTGAATCAAGATTAATGTGCTGCTTTTTGCTGTTGTATAAATTCAGTCTAAATTAAAATAGCAGCAGCAAAAATACACACAGAGCATTAACAAAGCAAGCAGAATATTTTAGGTTAGACTGCAGTTTGTCATTTGTGTTTTCATGGACTAGGCAGGAAATGTAAGGTCATTAAGGCTAGACAGAATTGCATATCTTGCACACAGTAAAGGGAAGGGACAAAAGACCAGGTTAAACAGACACCTTTTCAGAATGGTTCAGAAGGGGATGATCCTGTCTTGACCAGAGGGTTTGGCTAGAGAACCTCCTGACCTCCTTGCCAGACCTATTTTTCTCCGTTTCTGTGAAAATGTAGACAAAACCATAACTCCACTCCACTTCCACACCTGCCAGAAGAAGCTCTCTACACAGTTCTCAGTGCAGGACAATTGCAATTGCAATCAAGACATTTTGCACCCAAATAATGCCATCATGCAGTCGTTTTCTGATTCTTACTTGTAGAGATTTTCTGAAGCACCAGGAGTGAAGTTGCATACAAAAAGAGGGAGATTAGATTCAACAGTACTTCTAAAATATGCTGTGTTCTCTCATTTCAAGATCACCCAATTGGAAATATTGTCAGGTTTTGCCAAACATGTCAAAAATGTATTCATGGAAGGAGATAACCTTTTCATATCATAAAAAAGTGCTTGTGCACTTTGTCATCACATAACATTTATTCTCTCTCCAATCCAACTCCTCTTGAGATCAGTGGGATATATATTATACATATTTTTTATAATATGCATTATTTAATATAATTATAGTGATAATTATTGTAATCATTATTTCACTAACTCCACTGGTAGTTATGTTCAATTGCTTCCAAAATCCAAATTCGTCATTTATTTCCTATCAGAAGCACACCCAGTATTGTTAACAAAAGATTATGGAGGTCAGGTTTGATCATGACAAATGAGTGTTTTTGCCCAACTTTTGTAATGAACTAGTTGTTTTTAGGTTGACAGTTTACCAGAACGTTACAGATAGGGATGATCTATGGAGTTTGCCAAAACCAGATCTGTCTGGAACATTGCGTTGGGTTCCAGAAAGTTATATTTAATCCAGTTCTCCATTTACAATTCAGCAAAGGTGATCCAACTCAAGGATTAGTTGAATAACAGAAAAAATCCACATTAAAGCCATAATTAAAGAGTACTATTCATACAGTATTTCATCAATCAGCACTGTCTGGAAACAGAAGTGTTCTCAGTAAGAGTTAACACAGACTATCTATTCTATGGTAATTTCACATTGGTTCCAAAATGTTCCATCTCCTGGGATTCTGGCAATTTTTACTGAAGGAAAAATACTGATATGAGTTATTCCAGCCAATTAACTGATTGACAAACATGTGTGGCATTTATAAAATATTTTACGAAAATATTTTAGGCTGCTTTTTCCTCCTACAACAAAAGGGGAGAATCTGATTTTGCAGCTTTAAATTCAAGTGACTAGAGTTGAACCCAGTTCTGACAGGACTATATTTGGCATGGAATACAGTTTTCCATCAATCTTTCAGTCTATTTGGTATTAAAAATTCAGATGCTGTGATTGTTAATCCCTGCTGCTTTTGTGAATGCAGCAGGCCTGGGGTGTTTTAGTCACCCCCTTGGCAGCCTGCCCCAGCCTGCTTGCCTCTCTCTGGCATCGGGCATAGTCTTCCTACTTGCCTTGATAGTGTAAATAATTGGTTGGGAGACTGCTTTTAACTGAGCGGGGTGCCAGTTTGGGAACCCCTCTTCCATTCTCTTTCTATTGCTCTTTTAAGACATGACTAAGAACCCCACACAGTCATTGAGCCAGGCTACAGCCCCCCCCACAACTTGCTGGGCTCTCAGGCCCTCCACACAGTTCACTGGGTTTACAGCCTGCCATCATAGTCACAGGACTTCTGGCAGCCTGCTACCTCAGTCTCTGAGCCTCTGCTCCACTATCATAGCGTCTATGTTTCTAGAAGCCCATTATTTGCATCTCAGGGCCTCCGGCAGCCTGCTCTCTCAGCTTCTGAACTTCTATGGTCCCACTACCAAGCACCCCATGCCTTCCTGGCACAAATCATGGCCTCCAGCCAGTGCCGTAGCAAGGTGGGGGGGGGGGGGGGGACAAGTGGGGCAACTACCCTGAGCGCCAAAGTGAAAGGGCACCAAAAGGCACTACCCAACCAGGGACATATCCATAAGCAGCTCATTTGGGGAGCTATAGGGATGGGGGAAGGAAGGCTCTTGCCACTGTGTGCATTCCTGGGCAAGCTTGGGGGTGGAGGGTGTCCCCTGGATCCATGCATGGGGAGAGGGTGGGCTGCTGCTGTGAGCTTTGCCCTGGGCACCAAACTTAGTTGCTACAGCACTGCCTCCAGCGTCCCCTGTAGCCACACCTCAGACCTCATGGGTATAAACAGTCAATAACCTACTGTGAAGCCTTAATAACTATTTGCAAAGCAACCCCTCACAGATTCTCCTTCACTTGAGGTTCTGCAGGGCTTGCTTCTCTTCCAGATTCGTAAGCTCTCGTCTTCCAGGTTCTGTCACTTGTCCCCAGGGTGCATAGATTCCTTTTCCAGCCCAAGCCAGGGCCAGCCTGCAGCTCCACCCATGAGCCTGGCTTATATATGCCCCTGGGGGTCTTCAAGAGGAGGTTGGATATGCATCTAGCTGGGGTCATCTAGACCCAGCACTCTTTTCTGCATATGCAGGGGGTCGGACTCAATGATCTATTGAGGTCCCTTCCGACTCTAACATCTATGAATCTACTCTTTCCATTTCTGGTCACCTCACCTGGAGTTCCTTTAACATGGAACAGTGTTTTCTATTTGTCTAATTAACATGTCAGCTGCTACACTCTGCTGCTGTCCTGCCCTCCTCAATTAATTGGCTATGACTCAGCTCCTGTAGCTCACTATTTACACCCTGGAAGCTGTAGCTCTTTTAGTCCTGCTGCCTGGTGCCACTCTCAGTAACAGGATTTGATCAGCAACTCTCAGGACATTCTGGGGTCTGCTAGCTGCTCTCCCAGTGCTCTGGGCCTGGCAGCAGCCCCTCTTTACATTCTGAAGGTGAGCTTATATTCCCAGTAGCTGAATTTGCCTATATTTTTTTTAAAAGGTGCTGTGCCCTTCTCCAGCCCTTCCCCTCTCAGTAGTGTGGTCAGGGACCTGTTACAATGAACAGCACCACTTTTCTTTTTTTGGTATTCATCTTAACATCCTAGCATTGAGAAACACAAAGTTAAGATGTGAGATACAGATTGTTTTTTTCTCTTCTACTCCCTCCCTCCCCTCCCCCCCCACCATTTTCCCCTGCCAAGATGCCTATATCACTTTGAATTTCAAGTGAGGAATAACCAGATAAGGATGTAGAACTCTTGCCAGTGACAACTCTAAGATACTTCTTGAAGAAGCTGTAGAAAAAAAAGTGGATGTTACTGCCTTTAAGCACAAGTGAGAAGGCATTAATCCTCTTCTATTTAAAAATAAACAGATTTGGGGGATTTTATGTTGCTCTGACCTCACCCTTCTTCTTTTCCTGTTTCAAAGGAAAAACAACACCCTCCAATGTAGGGATTGCCTGTTATATGATCAGCTGACAGAAGCAGTCTCCAGAACAACTGCCTATAAGGGTTTTTTGTAAAGGTGGTAGATATAATAGTAGGATCCAGTGTATTGTTAGTTGGCTCACCAGTCACCACCTCAGCCTTGTCTTGTTCATCTGCTATACTGCCACCAGCATGGAAGATAGGGGAAGACAGGGAAAATGGAAGTTCATTCCCTGATAGCCACTGATCTTGACAAGTGCTCTGGGAGGTATATTGACACCTCATACCAAGAAACTGACAAAAGGAGAGATGGGGAGCAGAAGAAAAAGATATGGGATATAGTATGAACTGTGAGGGTAGTGTAGTTGTTATGCTGACTGTCACCCATTACTCTCAACATGTATGGGAAAAGATCTAGGCCCACACCAAATCCTACCTTTAGACATGCTTGTAGCACTTAAGCAGCTAACTTATACCCTAAAGTGGGATTTTGTATCACTTGCACAGATTTTTGGTTCCTACTCCTCCAGGAAGGTACTGTATGAGCATGTCTACATAAGATGCTTAATGTACAGTAGTTTAATTCTACTGCTCATTAGCGCATCACTACAAAACCTGTGCTAATGCACTAATGCACAGTAGAATTAGTCTATTAGTCTATTGCACATTAAGTGTCACAAGAAGACTGCATGCCATTGCTAGAGGTACGAAAGTTAATGTACAGCAGCAACAGTGTATTAATGCACATGTAGACATGCCCTATAAGTTAAAAAAAGATCTCCAAACCAGGAAGCCACAGAATAGGTGAGACCATATCACCTTCCATGTCTTCTGTTGAAGCTCACCCACTGGACAGCCAAAAACAGCCAGAAGAAAAGGGAGCTTGCTTCTATTGTTCAGCAGTGCCCTGGCCCCTGCTCCTGCCCATAATAGTTTTTCTGCCTGTGAAACTTTTGCAGGTACAAAGGGCTTGTAGAGGACCCAGCCTGAGTATCTTCACCTGGATGAGGCTCGTGTGCTACATGATCAGAAGGTGCCTCTTCACTCTGGTACCTGAGTGAAAAAAGTCAGCTGCGATTGGTGTGAGTCTAGAAGTCTATGGATCTTCTGTGGTGCTCCCCCTCCCCTACATCTGAGCCCTTTCCACTTGGATGTTCTTGTCAGTGTTTGGTACAGATGCCTGGCCATGCCAAGCATGTGGCCTCATCACTCAGGCAGGAAGAATTGGTGATGAAAATGGATATGTACATTGGGAGCAAGAAGAGGGCACCAGGCAATGTAGGGCCCCTGCAAGACATAAACGGTAATCTGGTGGCCATGTCAGACAAGAAAGCTGATATTTTTAAGTTTCTTTGCCTCTGTTTTCCTGAACAGGGACCGGGATATCTGCACCTTGGGAGAAGGAATCCACAGCATACAAACAGGCTGGGGAGTTCCCTTCTTGAAAGCACAGAGGCGGAAAGGGATCTTGGAGTCATTATCGACTCCAAGATGAACATGAGCTGCCAATGCCAGACCGCAGCCAGCAAGGCCAGCCATACCTCGTCATGCATCCAAAGGTGCATCTCAAGCTGGTCCAGAGAAGTGATACTCCCCCTCTATGTGACTTTGGTCAGGCCACAGTTGGAGTACTGTGTCCAGTACTGGGCACCGCACTTCAAAAGGGATGTGGCCAGCCTGGAGAGGGTTCAGAGGAGGGCCACCCACTTAGTGAGAGGGCAGCAGGACAGGCCCTACGAGGAGAGACTGAAGGACCTAAACCTGTTCAGCCTCAGCAAGAGGAGGCTGAGGGGGGACCTGGTGGCTGCCTACAAGCTCATCAAGGGGGATCAACAGCAAATAGGCAGAGCTCTTTTCTCCCCAGCACCAGCTGGGGTGACGAGGAACAATGGTTATAAGCTGATGGAGAATAGGTTTAGGTTGGAAATCAGAAGGCAATATTTTAGTTAGGGTGGCCAAAACATGGAACCAACTTTCCAGGGAAGTGGTCCTCACCCCTACCTTGGGCATATTCAAGAGGAGGTTGGACAATCACCTGTCTGGGTTCTTGTGAACCCAGCATTCATTCCTGCCTGCGGCAGGGGTCAGGCTAGATGATCTGTTCAGGTCCCTCCTGACCCTAGCTACTATGAAACTATGTCAGGATTCCTTCCCTCCTGGGGTTGCTGCAGCATTTCAAAAGAAGTTCTGGGTTGGTCTGAGCCAACCTTATTCCTTGCTTGCCCTGATGTGCCCCGCTGCGGCTGGCAGTTGCTGTGAGCTGTAGATGAGCTCATTATTCCCTGCACCTGCTGTCCCCTGGCCCCTGTGCCTGTTGCAGGCCTCTTTCATTGGCAGCAGAGCATGGCCTCATAGGGATGGGGTTCTGACCCTTACCCCAGCCTGGAAGCAGGGCCTTAGAGGAGTCTGCCGCACACCAGCTGCCTTTTTGGCAGCATGGCAGAGAACGACATCAGCATGCGGGTTTGCTTTTTCTCCGAGATCCCAGCCAGGAATCTGTTGCTAGAGCAGCCTGCTGATGAACATCATCTTGGAGAGTATGGGGCTTGGCCTAGCTCCTGCTAGAAGCCTCTAACTTCAGAGGCACTTGCTGTTAGCTGCCCCACCATTGGATCAGGGCAGGGGTCTTGGACATGCCCCTCCCTTGCAGCTCTATCCAAGTCCCCTGCCCCAATTGAGAAGCCAGGGCCAGGAGCTCCTTGCTGCCAGGGCAGAAGGACATAGTCCCCACCCTGGCAGCTGGCAGCCCCAGGGGGCAGGGAGCAATGTCCCAGCCCTGAACAGGAGACAGCTATCTCTTGGCTTAGTGCACCCTGCCAGCCCCTGGACTAGCACCCAGGGGAAGCCTAGAGCTCCTTGTGGTGGTAGCAGGGGCCCACTGCAATGCCCCATGAAGCAGAAGCAGTTTGCTGCCACCAGCAGCAAATCTGCTTCTGCTTCCCTGCACATGTAGCCACATCTCCAGGAGAGTTTATTCACAAGTAAGTTGCTCCCAGATCTAAGTTAGGTGTAGACACACCCAGGGAGACTATGAGGGTCAGGGGTATATCAGCAGACCCAATCACAGGCAAGAAAAGAATGCCAGGCAATCCTATCAAGCACTAATTTCCTTTCAGTGTCAAGGTTTACTCTCTTTAGTTACCTGGGTATGCAATCCCTCCATCACTTTCAAAGTGACATTACATTTCAAGTGAGCTATAGTTACAAGGTCAAGAACATTTTCTCATGGAATTCTTCTCATGTCATCCAAACCAGTTATGTTCAGCTTTCAAAGCTTTCCAGTTTTCCTTTTCTAACACAGAGCTAGGACCCCAATTGTTAACAGTTTGGTATTGTCATAACAGATTACTTTGTCTGTGTATAAATTTGAATACGTGCCTGGAGCCAGAGTACGAGAGCTACAGTAGAAAGACTGTATGGAGAAAGCTTTCTGCATTGTATGGAGAAGGTTTCCACATTAATGTATTAAGAATGGAATTTTTAAACACAATTTCTGTATGTGCTCTATAGTACTTTTGGACTTTTCATTTTGATTGCCTGAAATGATACAGCACAGTTAACTCACTTCTAAAAAAAGAAGGAAGGTCAAACAATGCCCATATCAAATAGAAAGATAACTGTCCCTGGGCATATTTTCTATTCTATAACTATGTAGCCTCCTGCTCAAGGCAGAATCATCCCTGTCTAAAACTATTCCAGACAAGTGCCTGTCTATCCTGCTCTTAAGTACTTGCAAGATAGAGACACCATAATCTGTCTAGGTAATATGTTTGTTTCCTTAGCTATCTGCACAGTCAGAAATTTCTTCTTAATATCCAATCCAGCCTAATATCTTTGTTGCAATTTAAGTCTGTTCTTGTTCTGTCCCCTGTGACTGGCAAAAAACATTTATTATATCTTCTTTATAACCATTCTTCACGTACTTGAATTCTGTTATGCAATCGCCTCTCAAGTCTTCTTTCCTCCAGACTAAATTATACCAAGTTCTTTTATAAAGGATGAAGTCTGGCCAAATCTTATAAGCAGTCTTAGATCAGGGCATTAAAAACAAAAAAAAATAGTCTACCTTGATTATGAAAATTATAGCTAGCATGGGATAGATCTAGCTAACAGCAATTCTGCAGCTCATAACCCTCACCCAGTTATCCATTACTGTATATGTGTGTATACTGCAGACTTTTCTAAAAACTCAAGCCAGTTTTTGTGAGGAAAATTGCAAAAACAGAGCTTGCAAAGGTTGACGTAATAATCTTGGTTACAGGACAGCCTAAGCAGGCCCACCCTTTGGCAGATATAAATCAGCAATGCACCTGATATATTTCAAAATGTACTTCCTTCCTTTCTCTTTGACACATTAATCTGCTATTTGAGGGGCTAGGAACGCTTCTTCTCCCACACCCTCCCCCTCTTTGTTTTGGCAGATTCCTCATCCTTTTGGCCAGTGCACAGTACAGCCACACAGCTGAGGATGGGGAAAGTCTACGTAGCTGTAGGTTGGCTTAATGGAAAGAATACACACCCTGGAAATTATGGTCTCTTTTTACACTTGCAGAAAAATATCCTTATTTTCTTCATAAAAACATATGCATACTGCTAAACAACTGCTTGCACAATGTTTACATGAGGAATTAATTTTGTTTGGTCTCATCACATCCACTTGAGCAATCATTAAACAACCAGGTACATATGGCAGTGTGGTGGTGGCAATGATGCCCCTACACACACTGTACAGTTCCAAGAAGAAGTGACAATATATCTTCAGACAGCCGCAGCAGCAAACATTTGATATCCCTACCCCCTTTTTTTTTTAATATGTGCAAATCAAGTGATATGACAAATATCATAAAATCAGTTAAACACTGGAAACAAGCACTATAAATACATGCAATGTAATCTTTTACAACAGGTTTTACAGAAATCAGAAACGTGGGTGCAGGTGGTGGGGACAGGACCAGAAAACAAAACACCAAGCAGATAGTAAAAAGGTAAACAGTCAAAACTTTGACCTAATTCATACAAATGGAACATGAATTGGTTAAAAAAAAAAACAAATAAATGAATGTGTAGGTTTACCATGAGGAGAAAGTGTCTATTACTGTGCAAAAAATGTCAAATCTTGTGTCTCAACAGTGAAGTTCCTAGAAGAAAAGGGAATGAAAATGAGAGAGTCTGAAGAAGCTCTGCAAAATGAGTGCAGAACAGAGCTGAAGGAGCCCAACTATCCCATAGTACCTTCTCTAGAAAAGCCCATCTAACCTTAGGCAGCAGAGGATAAAAAGAGCTAGAGAGGAAAATCAAATGTAAAGCAGAAGAGCCAGAGTGGGTATACTTCTGTACAGTGTACATATGTGCGTGTGTGCACACACATGTACGTGGTTCTTTTTGCTTATGTATAGACCTAAAAAAATTAAAAATGAAAACAACCCATTTTTACTACCTACAAGGGAAGACATTTTTGGAGAGAGGTAGTAGATGCCTTGAAACAGATATTGGATGACTTTGGTGATCTCTAAGCACCATGTCAGACGAATATATGGTCTTGCCATCATAACTGATTTGCCCATCTGATGCAAGAATTTGTCATGGGTTTGTCATAGCTCCTATATGTTCCAATAAGCTGTGCGGAACCAGTGGAAGCTTCTTCTTTTCCATTTATGTTCGGATAGTCCTCCAGAGCTATCCCACAATTCCTGGAGTATGAATTTTCCAAACTTTCTCCCTACTATCCTTTCACTCCTATGTACCAGAAATCAAACTGTTGGTTTAACAAATAGCTGGCTGCTGTTTAACCCTTGGTTACATGCCACCTGCTGGGTGTTTCACAGAAGTAAAATCTAGAACAAAGAATGGTTCTGAAACCAGACTTTGATCATGCAACAAAATAGGCCTGGTGATTTTTAAAGACAACTCATAAATCAATAAATGCACATGTAGGAGTCAAGGTTAAAGGCTTAGCAGGCACAGACATATTTCAGCATATAAAACTCTTTGCCATGCTGGTACTCTGTGATAGAATTAGGCAACTACTAGTACTGCAGCAGTGACCTTGATAGTATGGATTATACAATAATATTGAAAAAGATACGTAGGGGACCATAACATTTGGTTTTCTGGCCTGCTATTAGTTTTTGGTCTTTGCATGTATAGGAACCTAGGCAAAAGTATAGCCTATCATCTAGACCAGGTCTTTCCAAACTGTGGTACGTGTACCCCTGGCAGTATGCAACTCATCTCTGGGGGGTATGCGGGATAAATTATGTAATAGCAGATTTAATTTTAATTATAATAATTGGTATTGAAGGAGTAAAAATATAAAAATGTGCGCTGGTAAGTGTACACAGGCAGCTGGTAATTTTGGGAAAAGTACGCAATAAGAGAAAGATTGGGAACTCTGATCTAGACATTCCCTTTTTACATAGTAAATGCTTGTTGGAAAGCTGTGTCCTAAAGCATGCCATACCATGTTTTTGAATACAATAAAACAAAACAACATAGGCTACATACAGACATTCAGGGAAGTTAGAGGGAGGTTAGAGCACATTAAAAGTAGCCACCCAATGCCGGGGAGTTTGTTTATCTAGGGGTTGGAGGGGATTGGGGGAGGCAAGTAGGTTCTGGGGGGCAGATCAGAGGCTCCATGTGGGGTCAGAGGATGCTCAGGGGATTG